CCACAAAGAGGTCATGAAGACCACCAGTTGCCCCTTTGACTCCATCTTGTGGGGGGGACCCTCTTCTACACTATTTAAAGAACATGAGCTTGGTCTTCTTGGGCATCAGCTGTCTGTGGTTAAGCCACTAACAAAGGCTGCCTGCCACAGGCTCACCGTCCTAGCATCTGAGAGGGCAGTTGGATTGCCACCTCATATTCTGGCAGCCCTGGGTTCAAGAGCTTTACAACAGGCTGAAATCCAGCAGGTGCAGCTTCACCTGCAATGAATATTAGATTTCCCACCCCACATTCCCAGAATTTGAGCCACAGCTAATCAGGGTAGTTCTTGTCATCTGTTTTCAGTACAAGGAATCAGTTCTGGAACGTAGATAAGGTATCAATTCCTGATACTTTTGAAAACACTAGGAAGAGCCTCGTGGCACATCAAAGGCGAATTAAAAGTCTTCAGTCCGCATGGCTTTATGCCGGAACAGGCAACTACATGAGTCATTTTTGTTTTTGCAGGACAGACAAAAATGCCTTAGAGGATATAAAGGGCACATTTCCCTCCCTCCTAATTTCCCCCCACCCCAGATTAGAGATGGAGGGAGTAGGGATGCCAGCCTCCAGGCAGTGTTTCCTCTAAGCCGAGTTAGTGTGAGCTAGCTCACAGCTTTTTAGCCTCCGGCTCACACATTTTTGTCTTAGCTCGGGGAGGATGGCTCCAGAGCAAACTAATTTTATGCAGTAGCCAAATCGCTGGCTCACAACTTCAATGCCAGTAGCTCACAAAGCAGAATTTTTGCTCACAAGACTCCACAGACTAGAGGCCCCCTGCAATTAAAGCTAATCTCCAGACTGCAGAGATCAGTTCCCCTGGAGAAAATGGCTTGCTTTGCAGGGTGGACTCTGTGGCATTGTACCCCACTGAGGTCCCTGCTCTCCCCAGGCTCCACCACCAAATGTCCAGGAGTTTCCCAGCCTGGAGCTGGCAACCCTACACCCCACCTCAAATGGTGTCCAGTGGGGACCTGGCAACCCTAAGAGGAAGCAAGATTTCCTAAGTCTTCCTGGCAGGCTCGACCCCAGCCCCTGTTGGCAGAAATTGCCCCCTCCTCCATACCCACATCTCTCCATTCTCACCAAATTCTCTCACAGTGGCCAGACCGATGCCTGAGGTGCCACCAGTCACGATCACCACCTTGCCCGGGTAACGCAGTAAAGAGTCCATGCCTGCTGTTTGCCTTTGTTTCTCTTAATGACTAAAATCCACATTGAGTTTGGGAATATATATACTGCTGGGTGGAGATACGGAACTGCTGAATTTGGGAATATAAACTGCTGGGTGGAGCAATGCAACTGCTGAACTTGCATGTTGGTAATGGAAGACCTTGTAGTCCCATCTACTTCTGTTCTGGCTACTTTAGACATTACAGATTTGTACACAAACATCCCCCAAGAGGAGGGACGTTTAGTACTGGAAACAGTTCTGGAGTCTCATCCTGATAGGGAACCACCTACTCATTTTTTGCTTGAACTGGTGGATTTGGGGGAGGAAATTCTATTACCAGATCAAAGGGGTAGCCATGGGGAGTCCCATGACCCCTAGCCTAGCTAATTTGTTCATGACCACTTGGGAAGATAATATTTTTGACGACACAGTGAATACTGTGTATGACCTGGAATGTATGCTTTCGTTTCTGGCCACTATCTGTCTGTGTCTGGTGTAGCCTTGAGACCTGCACTGTCTTTAGCATCCCTTTCCCCCTGGGAATCTTAGAGCATCAATTTGGTGTGCTTTTACCTTAGAGGTGATTGGCCAAGAGCCACTAATGTCTATTTGATTATACTATAATTGCTGGCTTTGTGTGCTTGACCTTAGTCCTAAGAAAGAACGTTATGATTCTGGATCCTATCAATGTCTCAATAAACTTTACTTCTTCTGAATGTTTGTTATTGGAAACTGATTTCTCCAGGGGCTCTGACAAGCAGCAGGCTCTTCCCATTGACTTGCCAGTATGAGGGGTGTGATGCAAATTATTCTAGTTAATACACTGGTCCTTCTTCTTGTGTGTGAGAGAGTAATCATTTGGGAAGAGGAGTTTGAATGTTATAAATGACTCACACAATACCTGATGTAATTGATCCTTTTTTCCTTCCCCCTATTTCTTCTTTTTCAGGTTTTAAGGCTTTCAACAGAAATCTTGTATTTTGAATAATTTTACTTTATGGTGTGTATTTTAATCATTTGTACCACTGAGGCAGGCTTTGGGGCCAAAATACGTTTGGTTTTAAGTAAATTTTAAATTATTTTTAATGCATTAAAGCTCTATTAATTTAGCATATGCAGCACATTAGAATTTATTCTGTTAAGAGTAGTGTTGCCAGCCTCCAGGTGGGGCCTGGGGAACTCCCACTGTTACAACTGATCTCCAGCTGACAGAGATCAGCTCTCCTGGGGAAAATGGCTGCTTTGGAAGGTGGACTCTGTGGCATTGTACTATGGTGAGGCCCCCTCCCCTCCCCAAACCCCGCCCTCTCCCAGATCCACCCCCAAAGTCTCCAGGTATTTTCCAACCCAGACCTGGCAACCCTGGTTAAGAGGCTTTTTGTCAGCCATCATGTTTACCTGGTTTTTCGAGGCCGAGGTTTCGTCCTCTTTCTGTTTTGGTTCTCAGGTGCTACTGGATTTGAATCTAGCTGTTCTTCTTCAGACTGACATGGCTACCCTTGGACACTACCTGCAAGCAGGGCTTTTTTTGTAGAAAAAGCCCAGCAGGAACTCATTAGCATAATAGGCCACACCCCTGACACCACGGCTCATTGGCATATTAGGCCACACCCCCATGTTACCAGAAGTGTGCTCATCCAGCCACACCCACCTTTTGCTTCTTATTCTGTTTACCTTGTTTGTTGTCCAAACCCAGGGCTTTTTTTGTAGCAGGAACTCCTTTGCATGTTAGGCCACACACCCCTAATGTAGCCAATCTGGATGAGTTTCTGCTGTTGGGTGTGGCCTATTATGCTAATGAGTTCCTGCTAGGCGTGGCCAACTTGGGAGCCAGCCGGAACTCCGTTCTGGTGCGTTCCTGCCCAAAAATGGCCCTGCCTGCAAGCAAAGCGCTTCCAAGACATTGGCGGCCAGAGGGCCACAAGAGCTGCCCTGTGCCGAGTCAGATTTTGCCCAAGGACAGGACACAAACAGTGAGGCCCTGACCTGAGAGGCCATCACTCAGCTTCAGTCTCCGGGTAGAGTTGCCAGCAGTCTTCCCTCTAAGCTGAGTTAGTGTGAGCTAGCTCACAGTTTTTCAGCCTCCGGCTCACACATTTTTGTCTGAGCTCCAGAGCAAACTGATTTTATGCAGCAGCCCAATCGCTCGCTCACAGCTTCAATGCCAGTAGCTTGCAAAGTAGAATTTTTGCTCACAAGACTTAGATTTAGTGGGCTTTGTTTTAATTGGCTTCCAGGTCGGTCATAGCACACAAGGTAAAGCAGATAAACCCTATAATGACTGAATAAGACCTTGCAACACACACATATTTCCAACACAAACATCATGCTTCATGTTCTTTGTGAGGAGAGGCAGCACCGAGTGCAAAACAGGAGCCACTGAGGCTGCCTTGCACTTGTGCTGGGTGCTCCTCTCAATGCAAACAGCATGCTTCACACTGTTTTCTGTGGGAGGAGGTGCATAGAACTTGATCTTGAGCACAGAGTCTTGTTGTGTCTGGTATCTTTCAAAAAATATCTGGCAACTTCGATTTGGGCAGGGAAAGGAGTTTTGGGAGTGAGAACCATATCATAGTGCAAATTGTGTTTCCCTCTTTTTACAATACATGCACAAAGGTGTGCGAGTTGAAAGGAGGGAGGAGATTTTCAGAAAAGACGGCCCGGACCTTGAACTCGCCCCTAGTTCCAGCATTAAGGTTTCTGTCTCATCTTTTGATTAAATAATGGCAACAGCAAAGCATGTCATTTCTATCAGTGAGCATACCCGTGGGCCTCACGGCATGGTGAGAGAGGTCTGTTGGTGTGGAGACTGCTCTCTCTGTCTGCCCTTAGTAATTGGAAAATGCACAAGGGAATACCTGTGAAAAGCTTTCCAGATAGTTTAGCTTGTATATCCATTTTTACTGTTACACCATCTCCTTTCTACATAGTATACATTACATGAAATATTTATTAAAATGTAAACATTGGTTTGGAAGGCATTCACAATTACTCAGGAGAGAAGTTCACTAAAAACAACAACAACCATGTTCTCTGTGTTTAAAAGCAGTGAACTCCATTGCCTGGTGGATTTTTTAAATTGCCCACCCCCAACAAATGTAAAATAAAGGAGTGCTGTTTTATTGGCAAATACTCTCTAGGAAATTTCATTTGTCTTATACTTGCATCCCACATCCAATCAGAGAGCATGAATGTAACACTTTTAATAGCTTTGCCTTTATCAAACATATCTAGCAACAGAGTTCGCTTGGATTTATTTCTTTAAAGGGTGATTTACAACCTTTAATTCTGATCATACAAAAGAATAAGAGGGTGAGTATGGTTCTTTGAGTGTATCCAGAAAATCAGACAGAACACCAGCAGAAACATTTATCTTTTATTGAGATAAGAAGTTATTTTCTTTAATGAGCAAGACAGAAGGAAATGCAAGCATGAAAAAGTTAATCCTACAGTGACCCTGAAAATAAATGTGAAAAGTATCAAGGTGCTTAGCATTGCTTTTTAGCAAGAGGTAGTTTTAAAAGCAAATCAGGTTTCAACTGGTTGTCTCACTGCTTTTAGGGATAATCAAAAAGCCCAAGTTACCCACCAAGAAATCTCACCTGTTCTTCTTCTGAGACTTCTATGCAGAGAAATCTGATTTGCTTGTCACAGGAGTGCCTATTTACAGAGAAACACCAGATCTTATCTCTAAATCTTGTCTATCATAATTGTGATATTGTTTAGTTAACTTCATAAGTAAAGATAAACAACAAATCTTGATTATCTAGCATAATCCTTTGATATTATCTGGATAACTGATTCTTAACTAAATAAGACATAAGCAACGTATGAGCTAATTGGCAGGTGCATATGAGAAACATCTGATGAAGCAAGATTAGAAGGCCAATCTTGACTTTTAGCCTTTATTAAAAAGCAATTAATCTACTTTTCCCTTTAACTGGTTCAGCTAACTGCCCAAAATGCAAGCCACTCGAAACACAATTTGTGGACAGTTAAAAGGTGCTTGAGGGTGACTCGCTTGCAAACACAGCTTTAAAAGCTTGGTATATCATAGCTACCCAAGGGCTCTGAGAGCTTCCTGCTTTCCCAGGGAAGAGAGTCATTAAATGCACAAAGTGTCAGCAAGCCTGGAGACGCCTTTCTGTGAAGAGATAACCACTGACTGCACCTGCCAGGAAGGGTAAGATGGATAGCAAGCTGTCATTAAAACTTGAGCTGGGTATTGAGGCATGGGAGACAAGCCCTCTTGAATGATTGAGAGCAGTGGGTTCACTTATCTCAGGAGGAAGCAGACTCCCTACCTTTGGATTACGTAAGGAACTTCCCACCAGCTCAGGCTGGAACGTCTGAACAACCTGTCAATGATGTTCAAACATCAGGGATCAGGGTTCAAGTGAACACCTCCTGCACAAGACTTTGTTCAAGAGAGGTATTGAGTATTCTCTCTGCCTTCTGAAGCCTCTCCTGCTCTAATGGGATGGATAAAACCCAGAACCTGACTCCTTGCTTGGGATTCAAAAGAAGGGGGGAGTTCCAGGAAACACTGTTGGAGGTTGAGGATGACTGTTCAAAGCCTTCTTAAAGGTGAATCACATCAGCAGTCTTTTTAGAAACAGAGGCTGATTTCGCACTAGAGCTGCCTCGATGTTGTGCCACCGTTTGCCCTGCGGGGCTGCATTTGACCCGTGGCTTCGCCCGATTTCCTCCGCAGTTTTATGATCCTCAAAAAACAGGATCATGAAACTGCGGGGGAAATCGGGCGAAGCCACGAGTCAAAATGCAGCCCCGCAGCTTCGGCTGTGAAATTGACCAATAGTATCAGGCAAACGGCGGCGCAACATCGAGGCAGCTCTAGTGCGAAATCAGCCAGAGAGATAACCACATGTTTATGGAATATCTTCCAAGGTGTACTATTCCTCTAAGGCAGTGGTTATCAGCCTCGAAGGCCTGGAGTTATTCAAGGGTTCCGCAAATCCATATGCATACTAAGCATTGTCATTGTGCTGGGTTTTGTTATT